CTGGTGATATATATATATATATATATATATATATATATATAAACGCAAGGATCAAATTATATTGATATAATTTTTATTAATTATTATATTGTTCAATAATTTCATATAAAAGGTAAATTTTGTCAATTCAACCGTTGAATAATAATTTTATAATATTACCTTGATTGCATATACCAAATTTTGTTAAAATTGATAATAATAATAATAATAATATGATCAAATTATTTATATTTAAGAATATATTTTGAAAAGTTTATTTTATGTTAATTAACCTATATGAATGAAATATCAAATAATTTTAGATTAATATAAAACTGTTTATATAATCCAGGTAAAATTATTAGATCGACAAATTTTTTATATATAAAATTATTGAACAATATAATAGTTGTAAAAGTTATAAATGTGTAATTTTTATCAATTATTATACTGCTCAATAACTATATGTTAAATATAAATTTTTTAAAACTTATCGTTATATTAAAAATTTTATACTCCTATATATCATATATAAAAATATATATTAATTTAAACTAATTTAATATTTCATTCATATAAATTACATAATATATAATTTTAAAATATACTAAAATATGAATAATTTGATTATTTTTAAATGATTATTTAATTAAAATTTGACATAAACATATAAGATAATATAAAATTATAATTTAATAGTTAAATTAATAAAATTCATATTTAATATATAATTATTGAAAGATATAATAATTAATAAAAATATATCGATATCATTTGATCTATTTCCATATATAATTAATTAATTAATTAATTAACCGGCCAGTTGTTTGCTCTGATCCATATTTCAAATGCAAATGTGGTACCTCAAATTCTTCCACTATTGGAAGGGAAATTAAATATTAAACAAAATAATATAAATTTTATTAATTGACATTGAAATACAATCATGAATCAGACTATATATATGCCATCGATAATAAAGAATAATAGAAAATAGGGAAATAAAATCTCCTAATTAGTACCAGTAATCAGTCTTTTCCTAAACTATTATATGAAAAGTATTTTGACCTAAATTTATTGCACATCTAGGACACTTTCTATATATATATATCTATTTCATTGGGCTTATTATAATAGTGTCACTCATGCCTGAACTTCTTTGCCTAAAAAAAACTGAATACGTATATAAGCCTAAAAAACTAAATTAATAAAACATTGCAAGCATGAAAAAACTAAACTTAATTTGATTTGGAGATAGACTTGTTTAACATTTACCGCAGCTACAAGAACTTGATGATGTTAAGAATAGGAAAAGACACCAGAATCCTACAAAGGATTTGACTCATGGTTTGGATTTTGAAAAAAATAAAAACAAGTACTAGCAAGTAGCATCTAGGAAACAGAGTCGTCGTTGCCATCTTTCAAAAACTGAAATAATTCAAAAGTGAAAAAAGAAAGAACCGAAGACATCAAACTCATAAATATGGACGAGAGAGACATTAAAAGTCTTAAATGCTTTAATGTAAGACATAAAAATAAATAAGAATTGTTGATGAGATATTTTAAAAAAATGTTTAAATATATATTTTATAATATAATTTTATATTTTAGTTAATTAAAATTTTAGTGACTAAAATACCATAATAGATAAAAAAAAATGCAATTAAGCTTTAAAAAAATGAGATGTCCAAAAATAATTATTTATAAAAGGAATCCAATAATAATGTGAAGTAAAGTGTTTAATAGGTGTGTTTTTATTCCTCCCTATTTTTTCAATAATGCAAATCAATTAAATTATTATTTAGGTCAACGATTTCTGCATCATGCAAGTTATAAGTCTGGATACAGAAAAGTCTTCTGAGAGAATTATGAGAGACTGCATATAATCCTATTCTCACTTGGAATCGTTAACCACTTTTCAGCTTTCACTCTCACTACGTAGCGAGAGAATAACCTAATAAAAAGCAGGTGGAAACCAATTTTCTCAAACGCATCTTTCCATCATAATCGTTCACACTGACACATTGCGTTTTCGCAGGATGGGAGGCGACGGCGCGATTGAAGGCGGCGTGCGGAGGCGAGGGTGCACGTTCCGTCGAAACGACTTCTTCCCGGAGGAGTCGTTCAAGAGTTGGGGAAACTACGCGAGAGCGGTGATGGAGACGCCGTCGCGGCTGAAGGATCGCGTGCTGGCCCGATCGGAGGACCACGCCGAGGTGGTGGAGATGAAGGCTCGGAGCAGCCACGAGATGAAGAAGACGCTCAACTGGTGGGACCTCATGTGGTTCGGGATCGGCGCCGTCATCGGCTCCGGCATATTCGTCCTCACCGGCCTCGAGGCCAAGACGGAGGCCGGACCCGCCGTGGTGCTCTCCTACGTCGTTTCCGGCGTCTCCGCCTTGTTCTCCGTCTTCTGCTACACCGAGTTCGCCGTCGAAATTCCCGTCGCAGGTTCCTTCTCTCGCATTCTTGCTTTTATTATTTACTTATTTGGTTCACGCGCTTTGTTTTGCTATCTCTGTGATTAATTTTGTTATGTGAATTTAATTAGTACTAAAAGATGGCCGCACTTTTCATCACTATAGTGATACTAGTATTATTCACTAAACGCACTGCACTGCACCGTAAAAAATGCTGCCTCATCCTCTTTCTATGAATTTCTGTTACCTCAAATTAGTAGTAACAGAGAGATACACGTTCCTAAAAACGCGTCATCCTAATTGCCAACTGCAGCTGCAACTGCAACTACCGCAAAATTTTAAAAGTGTACTATACTATAATTTAATTTAAAAGTTTAAACATATTGGTTTGCTTAAAAACATCGTTAGGTTTATCTGTTCGGGTTGTAAAATCATTTCTAATTAGTTTGATTTAGTAGGTTTGGAGTGGAAACAACTTAAGACTGGCTACAAAGATTTTGCTGTGCATAAATATTACAGTGTGTTTGAATGAAAAATTTAAACGGAGCAATTCATTTATTTGAAAAATTTTAAATTTTTTTAGATGAAATAATTTGTATAGACGGAGAATTTATAAAAAAATTTGAAATTCAAGCATTTGTGAAATTCCTTGAAATAGTAGAATTTTAAATTCTCACATAAAAAAGTAAGAATTTGAAATTTTTTATATTTTTTCTTCTTCTTATTTTATTTGTATTTTATCTTATATCTTATCTCTTCATATTTTTAATTATTGAAATATTTAGAATAATTTTTAAAATTTTTAAAAATTATTTAATATTAATTTTTAAAATTATTAAATATTTAAAAATTAGTTAATATTTATCTTTATAAAATTTAATTTAAAAATCGCAACATATAAATATATTTTTAAAATTAATTTTACCATGGTGAAATCAAATTATCATATCCAAGCTAACAATTTAAAATTTGATAAATTTGAATTGATTTATCCAAACAAAATATTTTAAGAATGATAGAAATTGAAATCAAAGTAATTCAAATACCAAAGATTTAAAATTCTTTGAATCTGTAAAATTTTTCATCCAAACACACCATTAAGTTTTTTTTGTCTAATTTGTTATAAATTATTTGGTTTGACCATTTTAATAGTTTTGCTTAACATAAAAGTTTGTTTATGTGACATACTGACATGTTCTATACAAGACTTATAAAAAGCTCAATAAATCTAAGTAAGCTAATGAACTTAGATATGGAAAACATTAGTGTTAATAGTTATATATTAAATATAAATATTCATTATAAACTAATATATAATATAATATTTTTTAAACACATGTATAGAGATAAATAGTTAAATACTGTGATGTCCCACATAAATCGATATGTAAGGCCATACTGGTTTCATCCTTTATAAAAGTAATAGTAAAATTTAAAAATGTCGGTTAGTTTGAAAAACATAAATATTGAGAAAGAAGATGCGAAGACGAGCGCAAAAGGTTGACTTGTTTTTGTATTAAATTAAAATTAACTTACAATGGAATAAATAATGGCACTAGAAAACGAAAACAAACACATGGGGAGGAAAAACAGTGGGAACGCTCAGATATCCGATACAAAAAAGGCGAAATCATATATGAGCATCTACACTACTGTTAGTTCTTACGTACCCGTATCTTAAAAGTGAGCACATGTTGCTATTAAATAATTCCAATTCCAGCCGCTGAATTCGTAAGTTAGGTTGCTTAAAATTAACCACCGTTTCTTATATAAAATACGTTTAATTTAATTTTTTATTTGTCATTTTTTAATGTGAGATTTAAATTTTTTTAATATATCTTTTTTAGTATAGTATTATTAAATTTGATGTATGTGTAAATGATAGATGATTCATTTAGAGTAAATATATAATTATTCTGATATTGTCTTAGAATATAAATTATGAGTCAATTAATCCAATTTTTTAAAATTAACTTATAAACAGAAGATTATTTATAATTTATATACTCTTTATTTATCATTTATATTTTTTTTCCTACGCAAATCAAATTTCTTGTTTAAAGAAATTCGAGTAAGAAGACGGAGAAGTAGAGAGACTAATAAAGACAAATGCCAAAAGTCAAGTTGTTTATTAGACTCAACTTACGTCTGGATAAGTAAAATAAGCATGCATGCATAAATAAAAGTGGAAAACATCAATCAAAATAGATTAGAAATAAGAAATTATATATATATATATATATACTTAAATTTCTTTTGAAAATCGTTATTAGACCAGAAATCATAATAAAAGCATGTTTCTTATTTGATATGTTCCCTTATATATATATAGTCAATTTGAGTGGAATAGTTTTTTTTATATAATATTAGATTTTGAATTCAAAATCGAATTATTTGAACCGTGTTTGAGTTTTATCTTTGATAGGTTTAACCAAATTTTATTTATCTTATGAACGAAACAAATTATTTTAAGATGAAATTTTAAGATATTTATGTAAAAAAAAAAAAAGAAGGTATCGGTATATGTGTATTTTACATTGAAAACAGGTTCAATACATTTAATAATTCATACAGTAACATAAGACAAGCAAAACTAAAGTGTAGAGTATTTATTTTTATTTTTATGGTGAGTGTACTAGTTGAATGTGTTAGCGGTTAGCCCAGAGAAAATATGGTCCACTAGTGGAATGTCCTAGTCCATAGAAAATAACGCCACCAAATAGAAGATTTAGGCACAAAGAAAAGGAGGGCAAAATGCAACTATGATAATACTAAGGCGTCAAAGTCAAATTAACCGATGGTCCACTTTTGGCGGCGTTGCTTGTTTGAATAACGAATGTGACACGTGAAGATTGACGTGAACACAAGAATCCATGTATATCCTAGTCCTAGTCGCGCTTTCTCCTGATTAGTTATCAGAAAAATTACACTTTGGAAATCTCTATTTTTAAATTAATTAAAATTATAATGATAGCACTGAAGTTTAAATTTAAGATATTATGCATTTTACTCTAATTCTCTTTTATTAGACCCATTTTAGGAGTATATTTAATAAGTAAATAGTTACTATTGAGACTGGAAAGAAAAAATATTTATATTTCTTAGTAAAATAAAAAAAAAACAAAAGAGTCTTATAAAAGGAGAGAAGAAAAATGTTAATTAGTATTTTGTACTAATCCTTTTTCATTAAATATGTACAAACTATGAAGTGTGATTTAATAATAATAATAAAATTGTTGTAACTGCTAAGTCATGTTTACGTGTCTTTCGCATGTATAGTTCTCGTATTAAACAAGAATGCTGATGGGTGAAATGCTTTTTAGAAGTAAATATATACTAATAATTTTTAGTTAGAGAACTAATAATTGAGATTATAAATAATTTTGAAATTTATATATTATATATGTATTAGTATTTTCTCTGGGGGTCTCTCATCAGAGAGTTTAGTTTAGTTTTCTTTTCTCTTCTATGGTGTACCAAAAAAATGTATTAGTACTTTAGTCTTACATTAATTATACATTATAAATATTTATTTTATATAATACAATTGTAATTAATAAGTATACTTAATTCTTAATATATAAATCATACTATAATTAAAATATATAATAATTAAATATATTTAAATATATAAATTGTATTTTAGATATACTACAAAAATTAAATTATGATATAAGATTATTTGTAATTATTGACAATTTTTAATAATATTAATAAATTTTAATTTAGAATAAATATAAAAGTGGATAAATTAAAGAGTTGTTGTTGTATCTAACAATTCTAAACATTTGTTTTTTTAATCAATTCTCACTTGTAGACCAACCCAATCCAATATGGTATCAGACCTGATGCTTAATAATCTATAGAGTTTCTCGCATGTTCGAATTCTACTAAGAAGCATTTTGGGTCTTTTGTTTGTGGCAGGAGGATCATTTGCGTACTTAAGAGTAGAACTGGGAGACTTCGTGGCCTTCATAGCTGCCGGAAACATCCTCCTTGAGTACGTAATAGGCGGCGCGGCCGTGGCTCGGTCATGGACCTCTTATTTCGCCACCCTCTGTGGCAAACACCCCGACGACTTTCGTATAATAGTCCACAACATGAACCCCGACTACGGCCATCTCGACCCTATTTCCATCGCAGTCCTCATCGCCATCACCACCCTCGCAGTCTACAGCACCAAAGGCTCTTCCATCTTCAACTTCATCGCCACTATCATCCACTTACTCATCATCGCCTTCATCATAATCGCTGGCCTCACCAAGGCCAACCCTGCAAACTACACCGACTTCGACCCTTTCGGAGTCCGTGGCATATTCAAAGCCTCAGCTGTTCTTTTCTTCGCTTATGTTGGCTTCGATGCAGTCGCAACCATGGCTGAAGAAACCAAGAACCCCGCTAAGGACATTCCCATTGGTCTTGTGGGCTCAATGGTGATCACCACCTTGGCATATTGCTTGCTAGCAGTGACACTATGCCTCATGCAAAACTACATCGACATCGACAAAGATGCTCCCTATTCGGTTGCATTTAGCGCTGTGGGAATGGATTGGGCTAAGTACATTGTTGCATTTGGTGCGTTGAAGGGAATGACCACTGTGTTGTTGGTCAGTGCAGTGGGTCAAGCTCGTTACCTAACCCACATTGCACGCACCCACATGATGCCTCCTTGGTTCGCTCATGTTGATGAGAGAACTGGCACACCCATGAACGCCACAATCTCGATGCTTGCAGCCACAGCTGTGATTTCTTTCTTCACTGATCTTCAGATTCTCTCAAGCCTCTTGTCTATTTCCACTCTTTTCATCTTCATGCTTGTAGCCTTGGCGCTTCTAGTGCGTCGCTATTACTCAAGCGGGGTAACCACAAAGAAGAATCAAGTGAGGCTCATCCTGTGCCTTGTGCTGATTGTTGGTTCTTCATGTGGCATTTCTGGTTATTGGGCAAGCAGTGATGGTTATGTTGGGTATGCTATTTGTGTGCCGTTGTGGATTTTAGGAACTGGAGGTATTTGGTTCTGGGTTCCGCAGGCTAAGAAACCCAAACTGTGGGGGGTGCCCTTGGTTCCGTGGCTACCTTCTTTGTCTATTGCTATCAACATATTCCTTCTTGGGTCTATTGATAGGGATTCGTTTATCAGGTTTGGGGTGTGGACAGGGTTGCTCTTGGTGTACTATGTGCTATTGGGGTTACATGCTTCTTATGACACAGCCAAAGGGTTTGAGAGCCAAAAAAGTTCTGTCCAAGTTGAGAAGGAGTGGAACCAGGTGGAGGAAGGGGCAAAAGGGGAAGTGTCTCTTGCAACGGTTTCGAATGATTGATATGCAAAAGGGTTGATGAGAGAACTGTGTAACTAGTCATTAGGCTTTTGCAAATAATTTCTTTACTTTTGTATTGTGTGAGTGAGTTTGTTATTTATGCTCAATATTATCTGTAGTCTGTAGAGGATGTTTGGACAACTCTTTTATTTTAAATATTTTATTAATATCTATTTTTTTTTATGTCTTTTTTCTATCGTGTTATCTTTTTCTTTTTTCTTTTTCTTTTTCTTTTATTTAGTGACATCTACGATAAATTGTTGTATAATTATAATTATTATAACCTCAACTAATTTTTACGGGACACATAATTTCCTTTTTATAATTTAAAAATATTAATTGTCTTGTAAATATTAGGTTGTTTGTAAACACCCTGTATTTGATAAAGAGGAAAAAAACAGTCCAGATATAGAACTACAGGTAATACTTGACCATTATTCCATACAAATGCCTTTTAATTTGTGGAACCGGTCATCACTCAACAAATTGAAACATTTGCAGTGGCATATGAAGTATACATGTATCATAATCTTTGGTTGAGGATATTATAATTCAAGCATATCAAGAAGCAGACAATGATAGCGAGTCTATTTCAATGTCTGAACTCAACCTTAATGAAATTGTTAGTATGTGAGACAATGAGTGTGATGAGGTTAATTCTGCTGGATAAAGTTTACCATTAAACATGGTTGAAGTTGGAGATATCAAGTGAGGCAGAATAAGTCCATATTAAAAAAAATTCTCACTAAGCATGGACATGTTTTTCAAAATTATACGGTATCCACACTGATATTTAGTGTTCAATACATACAAAACTTATTATTGTGGCATATACATATATCATGATGAAGCTCAATGTGAAAATCTTCTGCCAGAGAGCGATTAACAAAGGTTCTCATTTTAGTTTTAGCGTATGTGATAGTTTCAGATATCCTAGCACACTCATCTTCTGCTTTAGCTAGTGACTCCTTGCAGGTACTCTCTTTATCACACAATAATTGGACTTTGCTGCTACTGCATTCTTTCTTACTTCACATTCTTTTAATTCTCTCTTGATAGTTTCAACGATCTTTTTGTTGATATATTTTTTTCTCTATAAGCACGGTAGATTGATTAAGAATCTGCCTTGTGTGAAGTATATCTTCCAGTCTTAAGTGAAACCACTTAATGTTCACTTTCATATTTTGTATTTCATTGACAAGAGCAATCATGCTATGCAGCTCATCTTCTGTGATTTTATGGAGATCCTTGTCTTGCAAGTCTGAAATAATGTCACATTTCATCTCTAATAACATTGGACGTAACATCGTTGTGGATATTGTAGAATCCTTAAAATTATCTCCATAATTGGTGAGAATTTTTCTTAATATAGACTCATATTCTGGCCTCACTTGATATCCTTCAACTCCAACTGTGTTCATCTATTAAGACATGCAATGGACAGCAGAAGCATAAAACATAAAATCATAAAAACCATAAAACAGAGAAGAGGAAAGGTTAGGGAATTGAACAATTTCATATTTGCTAAATAACCATACCATTCTGCTTGTTTTTCATTCATATATAAGGCAAATACATGAAAAATGACAGCCATACATAGAACCCATAAATGCTGTCAGTAAAACACATGTTCCAACCATCATTAAGTGTATAGATTTGCCTAAAATCAGAAATCTAACAAGATATTGTCTACTGAACTAAGCAAACATAATTACAGCAGAACTTTACCCACTAATACAAAAAACCTTAATTAATTATAGCAGTAAAAAATAAAGAAAAAGTTTTACTGCTTTAACACTCCTTAAAACTTTTCTTAAGGACTCCCAACTTGTTTCTTAGCTCATTAAACTTAGCACTTGGAAGGGCCTTAATGAGTATGTCTGCCAATTGCTCCTCGAACCTGCAATACATCAACTGAACATCTCCATTCTTCTCAGCTTCCCTTATAGCATGAAATTTGACATTGATATGCTTGGTTCTTCCATGTTGAATTGGATTTTTAGCATTTGAAATGGCTGACTTGTTATCACACCATAGCACAATAGGTTCCATTTGCACATGACTCAAATCTGTCAAGACTTTCTTGACTCATATAGCTTGATTTGAGGCAACTGCTGCAGCTACATATTTAGCCTCGGTAGAGGATTGAACAACCACATCTTGCTTCTTAAAGTTCCATCATTACCAAGTGAAAAAACATATCATGTTGTGCTCTTAGAGTCATCAATAGATCCAACCCAATCACTATCAAAAAAACCTTCAACCTTTCATTACTTTTGCTATACCAAATGCCAAAATTAGTAGTACCTTTCAAGTATCTCAACACTCTTTTGCCTACACCAAAGTGTGTTAAACTTGGTGAATGCATGAACCTTGAAAGTAAACTACTGCAGAACATCAAATCTGGTTTGGTTGCAGTCAAATAAAGAAGACTACCAACCAAACTTCTATATTGAGTCACATCTGCCTTTGCATCACCATCAGCCTTGGAGAGCTTTTCGTTGACAGCAAGTGGAGTTGAAACAGGATTACAATTCTCCAATTTGAATTTTTTCAGCAAGTCATTTGCATACTTTTTCTGTGAAAGAAAAATTCCATCATCAAACTGATGCACTTCCATCCCCAAAAAATACCTCATCATTCCAAGATCTGTCATTTCAAAAAACTGCAACATGCTGTTTTTAAATTAAATCATCAACATAAAGTGAAACCATAATTTTCTTTCCATTGCCACAATCTTTCACATAAAAAGTAGGCTCATTTTGGCTCCTCCTGAAATTATTTTGCAGAAAATGAGAATCAATTCTGTTGTACCAAGCTCTTGGAGCCTGTTTCAGCCCATACAAGGCTTTATGAGGCCTATAAACTTTTTCTTCATGACCTACAACAATAAAACCATCAGATTGTTCAACATATATTTCTTCTTGCAATACTCAATTTAAAAAGGCAGATTTAACATCCAAGTGAAAGATTTTCCATCCATATTGAGCCGCTAATGCAACAATTAATCTAATTGTTTCATGCCTAGCAACCGGCACAAATGTATCACCATAATCAATTCCAGCCATTTGAGAATACCCCTTCACAACAAGCCTTGCTTTGTGCTTGTGGATGGAACCATCTGGATTTAATTTTATTCTATAAACCCATTTGACGCCAATCACATGTTTGTCCTTGGGGTTTGAAGTAAGTTCCCAAGTGTCATTTTTGTTAATCATGGCCAGCTCATCCTTCATTGCATCTTTCCATTCTTCATGCATTGAAGCCTCTTCAAAACAAGAAGGCTCACTTATAACAAAATTGCATTTTTCATAAATTTTAGCCAAAAACTTGGATTTTAGCACAGGAGAATAAGATCCAGCAATATGATTTTTATTCTCATTTGCAGCTTGCTCCTGGTTGAAATTGGTTGTCAACTGTTCTATTTTTGTACTCCTTTAAACTTCATTATTTTCCCAATTCCAGCATGCATTCTCATCAATTAGAATATCCTTGTTGATCACAATCTATTTTAACCTCATATTGTACACCCGGTAACCTTTGGAGTTTGCAACATAGCCTAAGAAAATCCCCATTTTAGCTTTGTCATCTAATTTGGATCTTTTTGTTGCTGCAACATGAGTACAACAAATAGATCCAAAAATCTTCAAAGTGTTTGGCAGTGAGTTTCACTCCATTCCGAGCTTCAATTGGTGTTTTCTCTTGAACAACTCTTGTTGGTAGCCTATTCAAAAGATACACGGCTGCATAAACAGCTTCAGCCCAAAAACATTTAGGCAATTTCTTTTCAGCAATTAAACATCTTGCTATCTCCATAACTGTTCTATTTTTTCTCTCAAAAACTCTATTTTGTTCAGGAATATAACTTACTGTCAATTGATGAACAATGCCTATATCTTCACAAAATGCATTAAACTCATTAGATGTATACTCGTTCCCATTGTCAGATCTAAACATTTTAATTTTGCAGCCACTTTAAGACTCCACCATGGCTCTAAACTTTTTAAAGACATCAAAAGTTTGAGCTTTGCTTGATAAAAAATACACCCATGTCATTCTTGTCAAATCATCAATAAACAGAAGAAAATATTTGCTTTGGCTAAGAGAAGGAACACTCATTGGACCATACAAATCAGTGTGAATAAGCTCCAATTTTTCCTTTACTCGTGTGACATTTGTTGATGAAAAAGACTTTCTATGCATTTTTCCCAATTGACAAGCATCACATAAATCATCAATAATACTCATCATAAGTATGTCTTTTACCATATCATGAGTTTGCAAAAATTTCAATGCACCCATATTAAAATGACCTCAGATGTTTTTTTAGTTTCTACAAACTTCTTTGCTGATCTCAAAGAGGCACGGCGGTCATATATTGTAGAGGAATCCGGAATCAAATGCTTTCTCTGGGAAGGAGGGAACTCCCAAGATTCTGACTGAACAAACATTGAACACATACCAACAATGCGTAAATTATGAAGTAACCAATGACATGGGAAAGAGAAAAGACAGGTCAGAAAAATCATCTTTTTAATATCATTTTATTTCTACAAAATGCCTCCATTAAATCAGTTTCATTCTTTGTGGAATACATGTCATGGTATCGAAACATTTTTGTAGAAATAAAATTGTAAACAAATGCTACAAGGTATACACATAACCACGATAGTTGTAAACAATTACCTGGTTGGTGGGTGAATCAGAGTGAAAAGAATCCATAACCTCTACTCAACTTGCTTCCCCTTCTCGTTCTTCTTTCTTCTTTATGCTTGTTTAGTGACACATTCTTACTTCTCAGAGTTACCAAACAATAAGACTCTAAGAAGATCGTTTCTTAGGACAAAGAAAAGAGCAGTTGTGGTTGTGTACGAGTCCAGTGTCAGTGCAGTGTTATAATATACCCTTGTCTCTCTTCTGCTACAATATAACCTTTTCATGCAATATGTTTGTTTGACCATTAAATTTTATATGCACCACAACAGCCACGCTTTCCTTTATCAAATCAAGAATCAAATCGCGTTTCATGGAGATTTTTCTGTCAATGTTTCTAAAACAAGAGATGTTACCTGTTTTGGAAACAAAAAACTGAACAACTTAAAATGTTATTAATATATTTTTACAGTGGTTTTCTGTTTAGATTCATTTCTTTGATGAAGGTTAGGTATTTTATTGTAGAAACTTGGCATGATTA